TCGATAGTCACAGCACATATTAAAAAGGTAAGAGAGACAGTGGGTAACATACCAAAGAGGCTTGTATAAATAACAGGAAGATAGTAATACAAATCGCTACGAAGGATAGTAAGAAGCTGTGGAGAGCCATTATCATCAATGTCCTAAAGGATCGCGGGAAACAGAAGGAACGTTGCCAGGTATAAAGTCAAAGACGAAAAGAATCGAATATTGACAAGCGATTACAATCAGATATTCGTAAATGGCTTTCAAAAGGCAATTATTTAAATTAACTGACAATTCTTCCATCGCGTAAAAGTTTTCTATTTTACAACTGTTGGTTAGACAAGGAGGCCACAAATAATTATTCAATAAGTGAAATCTAATACATTCAAATTATTGGACACCTAGTGAGGATCAAACACGGTACACTCGGAAAATTATTATGCGATAGAGGGATTTTAATCATTGTGCAATATTAGCTGTTAATTGCTTTACATTTTAAAAATATTAAAAAATAAGATAGCATTTAAGAACAATTTTTAACTATCAATACATCGTTACAAATATCTTATAAAGTACTAAAAAACTACGTTCAATGCTTTGTTTTCTCTTATTTCAAACCCAGTGTTAGATAGTCTTCCATGCGAATAAAGCAATACGATAAAACCTATGTTGAGGAAAAGAGACATAAATGAAAATTCGAGATATAGCAAAATTCAGCTTACGTTTCGAAACAATGTTTTTTTTTTTTAGATTTAGTAGACATCAGTATATTGTATTTGACTTATCAGCCATCACTCACCCTCCGCCAGATCTTCAGTGCCCTTTTCGTTACTTGCTCGCAAAACAATCGAAAATCGATGACTATTCATCATATCTACAATTTGCGCCAGAAGAGCGTTGGTGAGTTTGGATCAACGAATTGTTAAAGCTTCTACTGAAGAATGGCTACCAAGTGAATAAACTGTTTATTGATAAGACACTAGTAAACTGCAAGATTAATTGCTAAGAAGCAAAAAAGATTAACATGCAAACAGATATTTTAAATGTTATGAAATTAAAATAACATGGAATTTTTAAGATAAAAAGAATTCATTTAGAACACACAGCAAAAGGCCAGCATCATGCAAAATGATTAGAAAAATCTTGATCCAGAAAGTTCCTCCCAGAAGAAATCTGTTCACGACGGTAAGAAAGTTTGAGTTGAATTCTGCTGAGCAGGGAAGAAAAATCAAGAGAGGATCGTAAGGGATTTTGATGCTAAGTTCTGTAAAAATGTTGACACAGAATTTTATATAACGTGTAATTAATATCGTCTTGTCCGTCTAAGTAGAGTAGGAATAAGAAATCAAGATGACACGCAATGAAAACTCACCAAAATATAAATCTGATAGACTAATGAGAAAGTTGTCCAATGTGGCCGCATGTGTACAAAAGAATGTAAAACCTTAGGAGAACCAAAAAGCTACATACGCACTGCCCATGTCTGACAATAAATCTCTACTAATCGTTTTACTTAACATTTGCAGTCGAAATATCTAATATGGGAAATCCAATTTTGAAAAGTAATATATATGCCCCGTAATAGCTAGATTTAATCTATGAATTTTGCCTGGTTGATTGCGAGGGAAATAAGCTCAATGAATATAGTGTATTAATTCTGTGCTTAGAAGCTGAAAAAATAGTTGGTTTACTATGTTGACTCGTAAATATATCTTTACAAGAGTCAGATTAGATAAAACTCAAAAAAAAAAAAAAAAAAAAAAAAAAGCTGTTATATATATTGATACTATTAGGTTGGTGCAAAAATAATGACGTAATAATGTCGTTTTTTGACGTACTTTTCTACGTCAAAAACGACATTCTTACGTCATTATTTTTGCACCAACCTAATACTTAATCCCTGATTCCAGCTTTAATAAAATTCGAAAACATTTACGGGCTCTTGTGGGGGTCCTTATTTTTTTCGCTTTACAAACTCTTTCCGGTACACACAGCATTACAAGCCTGTTAATGCTTTATCACTATTTCTATGTCGTCTACTTTCACCAGTTCAGACATTTACTGATATGATACGTCATACTATTTAACAGTGTATAAACACCCTTATTTCATCCTTGCTCCAATCGAGGAAATAGACTGTACTCAGTTTTTCTCATTGCCAATTTATGGAGGAAACTCACTTGATTGCTCTTCTTGACTCTTTAATCTTAATATCAAGGGCCAGTTTTTATCTAAAGTTAGAGAAAAATCTGTTCACTCCACCAACATGTGTTAAATAACAGAGATAAAAGAGATCTCTTGCATTGAGGCGGCAATATATATATAAACTGAATTCAAGGAAAAGCTAAAATAGGATGGGATTCGTCAGACTAACTTACCTTAAACGCACCACTGTTGTTGCTATTACTGCAGTACACGTGATACCCTTATGGGCTACGGTATTTATAAAGTGACGAAGGTCTGTAAAAATTCCCCAGCGGTTTCAGGTACCAGCGTTTAAGCGTAGACTGTAGAGGAGACACGGTGTAGTAATGGATAGCGGCTTGGATTGAGGAATCGGAGAGCCGAGTTCGAATTCCAGTCGAATCCATTACATTCACTTACGAGCTAATACCCTTGGGAAAGGTGTGAATCCTCTTCTCCCTCCAGCTATGGGTAAATAGCAGGACAGATTGGGATCTATAGCCTTGGATGGCAACTGGTCTAGGACAAAAACAACTCTGAATTCAAAACCTGCGGAGGGTGAATGGAGTCTCTCTGAGCCTTGGTTGGCAATCCATTTAGTGTTGGTGTCACGATAAAAAACACCCTTGATAGCCCTAGCGAAGCATCAAGAATTCAGCTATTTGACAAGATTATGAACTACACCAATCAAAGTATTAGCCATGACATAAGGAATACTGGAAAGGTGTAGTGAGTTCAATATCGGCTGAGGCCGCAAGATGATGATGAGGCTAAATTATTCATACATTTTACTTAATTGTCTATATTTGAGATAAGGTATTATAAATATTGTTATGAGTAATCAAGAGTGGCCGCCCTTGTTTTGTTACTTTCCTCTTTGAGAGAGTTATTCCCGTTTACTGGGACTGTAAAATGACACTATACGCGAACCTTATATCCTCAGTTGAATAATGCTTTCTTAAAGCGTACTTTGGTCATTACAAGTATTTACACTATTTACATTGAAGAAAACAATGAATGTAAATATCGTAAATGCTTAATAAATCGTTGAACAAAATGCTAGAGAAGTTATGCTGGCAATTTGTATATACCAAAGACAGGCTATTGACGTTTCTCTTTACGTAGAAAAGCCAAAAGTCCAAACGTAAAGAAAAAAATCGTATAATAATGTCGCTATAATCTATGGCCATGACAGATCTTCTGTCAGATTATAAAAATATAATCTAATAAAACTTAATTTTATTATTAGTTACTTTTTTAGCGCTTCAACGGCTCTCTCGAGTGGTTTGTAACGCATTATTTATCATCTCTCAGTTGCGTCTGTCTTTGTGCAGAGTGCATTCAGGAGTGACTACGTCAAAGACAGAGTCGCAACTGAGGAAAATTATACTGAGAGGTGCCCGGCCCTGGGGACCAGCCTCCCGAGGCCGCGCCCTCTCATTGCACCAGAGAGAGAGAGATCAGTACTCGCACTGAGGCCAGCGCAACCGACGGTTGCGAGGAGTGCGAGCAGTTTTTGTTCCTAGCCCGGGTGTACGCGCTCAGGTTCCCTCCTTAAAAACTGACCTTGTGTCAGAACTCATTTTAGTGGGGAGGATAAATACTTAGTTAATTTTCTTAATCTTTCACTGTTACCAATTTTTAAATAAAATTTTATACTTTTGTCTTGCAGAAAATACAGCATTTACATTTTTGTACATTTCACAATTATATTCATGTTGTTACCTATATTACCCGTAGATAAGAGGGTACTATTGGACAATCTAATTTTGTACAGAAAACACATATCACATAATTGGACAATTCGTAGAAAATTATCCTGTCTTATCAGCGTTAGATAACAGATAAGGGAGTTGGCAAAAAGAGTTCTAACTTTGCCTGAGGCTGATTAATATCGCCTCACATTACTACCAACGAGAAAAGGCATGAACCCATTTCTCTCTAATCATTTCATCTGATATACGTGGCAAAGATTTAATGGAAATGTACCTTGACATTCACCTCGCAAATTTATTAATTCTCTTGCTAGTTGCAATTAAAGTCGTTACTCACCATAATTAGCGTTAATACTGACATTATCAGTTTGTATCAGTGCAGCCGACAAGAAAAAATATGCAAGGCTTCTTCGCTTTCAAAGTCATCAACTAGTACTTAAATGTCTTCCATAAAAGTAAGTGATTTCGACTAAAACGGGACTGGATATGTTAAAATCGATATTGAAATCACGACACTATTGGTATATTATTCGCTTCAGTCATAATTCACAGCGGTTGAACGTTTCCCGCGAATACTATTTCATATCCGTCCAACATGGCTTCCATGGTGAGGTGTCTAGAAAGTATTTCTTACTAACTGCCCACGTCTCATGGTCTGTGACAATAAGGAAATTTAGAGCCATCGTTTGTGAAGATCCAATATCCTCACACACCCCAGTGTCCGTCAACCTTTTGTGTCCGTTGGATAGATTATATATATATATATATATATATATATATTAGAGGGAGAGAGAAAGGTGTGTGTAAACTGATGAGTGAAAAGAACAGATCTGGAATAAATAATGTGTTCGTGTAGTTTAGAGTTATATTCGTTTACTGTACATGTACACTTCTTTAATTGCTTGGTCTCCCGCTCAGAGATATTAATGGCAGTAACGTAACCCGTCATTCCCTTTTACCCCGTCCATCATCGCGAACATACGAAAAATAGTTGGATACTTAAGTTTGTCTCTCGGTAAACTGTTTCCAGATCGTCTGGAGTTGGAAAACAGGATTGTGTAACAGAGCTAACTGACAACAATTGTTGTTGTTGTTGTTTCAATAAAACAAGGGAATTCACATATAAAAAGGAAGTGAGAGAAAACTGTAGAAACACAAGAAAAATGTATAAAGTAAATTTGTAATAACAGATAGAGAAAGAAATTTGAATAGGAGGGAATATGTGAGGCAAAGATAGATAAAATAAAATACTGCAGATGTTAGAAAGAGAAGGAAAGAAAAGAGAAGGGTAGAAGAGAAGGAAAGAAAAGAGAAGGGTAGAAGAGAAGGAAAGAAAAGAGAAGGGTAGAAGAGAAGGAAAGAAAAGAGAAGGGTAGAAGAGAAGGAAAGAAAAGAGAAGGGTAGAAGAGAAGGAAAGAAAAGAGAAGGGTAGAAGAGAAGGAAAAAGAAAAGAGAAGGGTAGAAGAGAAGGAAAGAAAAGAGAAGGGTAGAAGAGAAGGAAAGAAAAGAGAAGGGTAGAAGAGAAGGAAAGACAAGGGTAGAAGAGAAGGAAAGACAAGGGTAGAAGAGAAGGAAAGACAAGGCAAGACAAGAGAGGACAAGAGAAGAGAGACACGGGAAGAGAAGAAAGACACCGGAAGAGAAGAAAGACACGGGAAGAGAAGAAAAGAGAAGTACACAAAAGAGAAAGAAAAAAGAACCAAGAAAAACAAAACGAGAGATATACTTAAGAGGAAGAAAGTAAAGTCGAATCGCGGACAAATAAAAAAAATAAAAGAAAGTGTATCTCGTAAAAAAAGATGGCGACAGAAGAAATGGGTTCATGCCACTTCCAAGGAGATTTTTGTAAGTGAACCCAACTATCTCGCCTCTAATTTCAACTAAACATACCAACTTCATTTGGCACCACACACACACACACCCAACCGTGGGAATTGGATTCACCATAACAGCGAATTGTTTAGTGAAACAAGAAAACTCATCATCGATTTAGACATGGCTAAAAAAAAGTATTTAGATTAGATTCGAACTCGTACATGTTAGAGAGACACCCTGAAGAGATCGATATCATAGATTAAAACTACGGTCAGCCCAGACGTACATTTATCATTATTTATGTTGTAACTGACAATAGAAGCAAACTGAATTGATCAAGAAAAAGTTAAATTGAGACAAGTTATACCAAATGTCAAATTAATCCCTTATCTCAATCAACCATCTTGGCATGCCAGTGACGAGAGATCATGTCCAATTCTGACAAGGAGGTATAGTACATGGTGATGTAGTTTCATAGCTCGCTTAAAAACAGTTATGCGAAATGAAGGATGTGTACCTGTGTTTTACAGATTAGGAAAAAAGCGTTTGACAAAATACGTGGCCAAGAACTGTTGCAATTGCTTAGTAATCATTACATATTTAGGAAGGATATTAGAACAATCCAGAAGCTATCTTGGCTTCAAAATGCTTGCATACGGATAGAAAATGAATTCAGTAAATATACAAAAATAACAGAGGGTGTAAGACAAGGATGTATCTTCTCACCAGACTTTTTCAATCGATACAGTAAGGCAATTCTGAGAGAATTATAAGTTATCAGGATTCGTTATTGGTAGCCACTGTTTTAACATAAGGTGACACACTGTTGATAGACACAGAAAATAATCCACCAGAACTCCTACAAATAGTAGTGATGGAAAGCGTTATAAGGAACTCATTCTCAATTGCCAAAAAATAGAATAAATTTTTGTGAACAAAACGAACAGTCTAACATGAAAATTTAAAATAGGAGACACCAAAATTAAATACACCAACTTAAATATCGGGGTATTGTCTTAAGGGTAGACGGAATGTGTCACACAAAAATCCAAATACTCATTGGCATAGCTAAATATGCCTTCCAAAAGCTAGGCAAAGGATTGTGAAACAGAAGAATTTTGTCATAAACAAAGACAAGAGTACAGAACTTAAGTAATATCAGTTCCCCAATATGGCAGCGAATGCAGAACAATCTCTTCGCAGATGATGAAGAGACTTGAAGCAAGAGAGATGTGGTTCTACAGAAGGATGGCGCGAACAACGGATAACCTACCGAGCGAGCTTGAGCAAATTAATGGCGGAACAGGGTTTAGGAAAATAACAAAAAGACAAAATTTATTAAGTTTCCAAACGACAAGAACTTAGAGAGAGCAATGATCGCAAACGTCTTGAAGAGATATGGCAAATAGAGAAATATCTGCAAAATTCGACCAACGCTTGCAGATTCCATTTTCTCTAAGCGTTATATCAACATGCATCTCCAAAAGACATTTATTTATATATATATATATATATATATATATATATATATATATATATATATGTGTATATATATATATATATATAAACCAAAGGAAAAAAAAAAAAGATTCAGATGCGGAGAAATCTGAGACTAGGAAATGAATGGAGGTTAAAGTGAGTCAAGGAAGAAACGGAAATTGGAACGGAATTCGAAAAGTGAGCGGACATCTTCGTGGTTGTCTCGGCAATCCAGTCGTCGTCGTCGCTGGTGGAAGAGAGACCGATCATGTCGCAGCTGGTCGGTCTGATCGAATAACAACAACAGCTGAAAACTAAGTCCAAGCAAAACTTTTTTTTCTGTCTCAAGTAGTTCTAATAGCTTTGAAAGCTACAATATATTGCAGATATTCTTAGATCGAACGAGAAAGGAAACATAGTTGAATTCCCAAGCAAAAATTTTTGCTGCATAAGATGGTCAAGTAGATTAATAATTCTCTCACTTTATTTAATATATATATATATATATATATATATATATATATATATATATGTCAATTTCAAATAAAAGCAGTTAGTTTTAGGTTAGTATTGAATATCTGAATGAAAATTACACTTTGAAATTTAAAGCAAAACCATAGTCTACGAATTTGCTCTAGAAATTCACAATTACTTCAAGCTTATCATTGTGTACAGATATAGTTTTTTTTTTTTTTTTTTCTTACCCTACATTTCAAGAAGGAAAACACTCAATAAATTTTTTATTTAATTTTTTTATAAACAAAATCGTCTTCAAGTATTAGTAGCATCTTTTTTCGAACGTTCTCCTTGGTCAAAAATTACAAATTTGACATTTCAAATCTGAAGAAAAGAAAAGGCAACAAAAAAACACAAATTCATTTCTGCTGGAAAAATACAGGTTTGTCACATATTCAGTTGTGCAGCAAATACGATGTTCTCGGGGTGTCCTACTATTTTATCTAAGTAATAAATTTATATTATATATATATATATATATATATACATATAAAATGTTCATATGAAATATTATTTATTCCCTTCAGAAATAATGTTGCCGCGAGAGAACAAAATGAATTCCTCTTCTCTGCTGAATAGAGTCACGTATAAGAAGAAAAAAACAAAGAAAAACATGCTATTTTTCATTACTGTCTGCCATTGTGGGGTAAGGTCAAGCAGTGACACAAATTCACTCTGAATACTGCACCACCAACCGTCTATCGCTTACTCATTATCCATGCAGACGACATGCGCTTGATTTATTGGGAGTGGCGGGTTTTTCGTCGTGATGGCTCTTTAATAAGCAGCTGATGCAAGATCGGACTGAATCATAAACTAATTTATTTCTGCGTTTTAGAAATAAGCTTTAAGACTGGACAATGAATCAGTTTTTGTTTGCAATGTTTTTTTTCATCTCATTTACTCAGCAGTTCTTTGACTTTGTTTTTCGTTTCACTTATTTTATGAAATCGCCGTTCTCTAAGTGCATATCTAAATTATTTCGAACGGCCTCGCCGTTGTCGATATCTATTATATAGGAATAAAGTGTCGCTGCCGACACTTCAGTTTGAACATAGATCGCCAGTGAAGAAACACAGGCGACCCCATTATTGGATCGCGTGACCATAGAGGAGACGCATAAGTAGCAAGTCGCGTCACGTCTAATTGATCGTTATTTCTAGTCTATCCTCTATTACTATACGGGCTGCTATTCTCTATCGTATTTCTCTATTCTGATCACTATACGGATTACTATTTGAACAAGTATTATCGAGCAAGTACTATTAGTACAATTTTTATTCGAAGGCGTCTGACACCAGCATTGTTCAACGCCGTTACTAAAGTTTTATCTGCGATTACAAAGTCTCTACCCCAACGAGAATTACAAAAGTAACGACGAGTATTCGTTGGCATCACAAAAGTGGTACCAAAATATTACAGTTGTCAAAATAACTTCAGAATCAAGAGACCTATTCTGAAACATTTCTCATTTAGGAAGCTTAACAATTTCATCAATAAATCTTACTAACGTTCCAATCATTGATGTTTCTGTCTACATTCTCGGTGAAGACGGCATGGTGAAACTCTCAAAATGAAAACAAAAAAATATGAGAATATTAGATGTGTAACTTTGTTAGAAATTAAGGGGTGGGTGTGAGGTTGCTGTAACGGATAGCTGCACGGAATGAGAAATCGGAAAACAGAGTTCGAATTCCAGTCAGGTTCGTTGCATTCACCTTCACGCAATTGCCCTTGGAAATGCTGAGTCAATTTCTTAAAACATCTTTCACACGAATAAAAAGAAATGAAAAATAAATAATATTCTCACAATAAAAATGTTTCGGTTTTAAATAAACCGTAAAAGGCTTATAAAGCGTAAAAAAAAAAAAAAAAAAAAAATTAGGAGAGCTCAAAAAGCTACCGGGGGAAACGATGTAATGGTGTGCTAATTCGAACAATGACAAAACATTATCCTTCAATGACAGCAAATGCCATCTAGCACAAATGATATGAACGAAACGAAGTTACGGATGCTGATTTGATGAAAGTCTTGTCTGCATTTTCCTCCTGTCTTTGATTTAACCGAATCCTTACTGATTATTGATATGGAGAAAGGAGAGAATTATCAAGTGTCGGTTAATCTGGAATATAGCGGAAAGCGTGTATCTTGATTTCTAAGGTCATTGTGTTGATTTGTATATCCTATTCGACCTCTTCTATTCGACACACTAGAGACGGAATAAAAAAAGATTACTAATTACATTTGTCTTCTTTCTCTCGTCTTAGTTGTGAAACGGCAGCAATCATTATTTCTTCTTTCTCTTGTCAGCTTTTGTTATTTCCATTTGATAGTCTGTGACGTTAAAAATAATCTATACCTTTCTAGGCCTCCATCTTCTGTATTGTTTGGAAGATAAAAAAAATTCTTCTAGATAGAAGTGTGTAATTTTATTTCTTATTAGAACGACAGAGAGGTTTTTTCCACTCTCGGGCCCAGAACGACAGAGAGAGGTTATTCTCTTAAGATAATTGGTTGCATCGGCACAAAACAGGAAAGTGTGCCCAGAACGACAGAGAGGTTAAAGTGGCCCCAAACGACAGAGAGGTTTTTTCCACTCTCGGGCCCAGAACGAACGAACGACAGAGGGCCCAGAACGACAGAGAGGTTAAAGTTTTGCACTCTCGGGCCCAGAACGACAGAGAGGTTAAAGTTTTGCACTCTCGGGCCCAGAACGACAGAGAGGTTAAAGTTTTCCACTCTCGGGCCCAGAACGACAGAGAGGTTAAAGTTTTCCACTCTCGGGCCCAGAACGACAGAGAGGTTAAAGTTTTCTCTCAGGCCCCAGAACGACAGAGAGGTTAAAGTTTTTCCACTCCCCAGAACGACAGAGAGGTTAAAGTTTTTCCACTCAGGCCCAGAACGACAGAGAGGGCCCAGAACGACAGAGAGGTTAAAGTCAAAGAACGACAGAGAGGTTAAAGTTTTCCACTCTCGGACCCAGAACGACAGAGAGGTTAAAGTTTTCAAAACG